TTTATTTGTGGTTTCGTGTGATAAACTCCATCAATGAGATTTATCGTAGACCTAGTTCAACCTGTCGTGGATCACGTATAATCTAATAGTACTAGTTAAGGTTTTACAGAAGCTTGCGAGATACTTGGAATAAATTATAGAAATATTTGCATTACGTTTTATATTATAGGACGAAATTTATTCGCTATGAAGTTACAAAATGTTAGGAAAATTCGTTCAACTTGAGAAGAGAATATTGAGGCATTCTTTTTTTCTTCTTGCACTTTCTGAAGGAAATTGCTAAAGTTTGGAGTCTCAAGGAAGCACTGATCCTGTGATGTGAGTTTTCTGTAGTCTATGAACTCTTTGGTATGGAATTATTTGTTACGATAAGAAAGTATTTTAATATAAGTCTTTTTCTTGCAATTTATGGGAAAAAGAGGACGTAATGAACGACAGGATTGAGGATCGATTAATTAAAGACTTGGAAAAGCTTCGATTCAGTGATCAGAAGATACTTCCATTAGTAACTTTTCGTCTTTTGAGAACAAGCTCGATTCGGAGAATATCTCGTGGCTTAACAGATGGGATTGATTCGAGGCATTGTCCCAGTTCGTCTAATTGAATATAGCATACTCCATACAGCACGATGATGGGGAGTTTGGTACCTCTCGAAATAGCTGCTTCATCATTATAAAGTGAGCCACCCTGAGACGTAGAGATTTTTTTGAGTGCGGGCGACGCGGCCAGAAATACATTTGGCCGCTTTGCCTCCTTCCTTGCTGCCCTCTTCGCGGCTTTCGTTGTCTAATTAAGCTCCTAAAATTGCAAGAACCATCTGTTCGTTCTCACGACCCAATTTAAATCGTATTCATTCACGATTCGACGTTTCTTCTTTCAATCTTGGTTCACCGTGTATCTCAAGTCGGAGACAGAAGGTTTTCCAACTCGTTCCAGGGCACCCTTGCTTATCCTCGATTTCTACATCGGTACGTCTTTGTCTGAAACTCTCGCACGTGGATATCCAATAGTTATGAAGAGGATTTGTCAGAGGTTAGTCCAATAATCGAGGGTGTATAACTGAACTTGCATTTTCACGCACATCACGATACGCTCGTGTCATATGCTTGACAAGTAGAGTAGAATTCGATCAATACTCGATACTGCGGCTATTTCGTGACCTAGAAGAGTGATTTTTATAAGAGGTCTTCGTGCAGGAGCTTACTTTATAATAAATCTGAAGGAAGTATCGGAAACTTGAACGATGTTTCAAGTTGTGCTACACGGTAGTCATGTCTAATTTATCTCGGGAAGCCAAGACTGTAGCCTTAAGTTAGGATGTTTTGTTCGAAATGAATCAGTGTAGACGATTAAACAACTGCCTATCAGGTTCTGGTCCATTTCCTGTGTCTACGAGATTAGTCTTGTTAGAAGAAAATCGAGTGTACGATACAGTTTGCATTTTACTGTATCATTAAAAGCAACTAAAAGCGGAACTTTTTACGACAGTTAAGTGGGTTGAACGGTGACGCCTTTCGTCAACCACTAACTCTGACTTTTAATAAAAATTCGATATCGATATTTTTATTTTTAACTCATTTTATTCTATTCTTTTTAAACACAAATTTAACATACCTCGTCAGAGATTTATTCGATCTCTGAATAATCTACGACTCTTTAGTAAACTTTCTTTCAGGGATTTGATAACACATACCCGAAGGATTTGTTTGAAAGCACTGGAAGGTACACAGTACTATTTACTCACGAGAACAACTTCAACTTCATCCACTGCCTTCTCTCGGCTTCTCCACCTCCCACACGCACACGTATAAAATAACTACTCACATCGGACCACGTCCTCTACCAAATCACTCAACTTCCATTCGGAACTGCAATCTGTATCGCCAACAGCCTCTGACATATTCGCCGGGATCGACTTAAATGGAACAACTCGTATAGCAGCGCAGCAAACCCAGCCACGTTTCATCGAGCCATCTATTCTTCACCAACGAAATACCTATACGTGGTGGCGATTCTACTTTGCACGTAATCCTGGCGATCCCAAATAACAATTCAGAAATAGATTAAACAGAGACCTGATTTAATCGTGGACCGCTTCCTGTACGTTACCTATGACTCTCTATGTCTGAACCAATTACTCAAGTCTGTCCAATCGTGATGATCCTTGAATCGAGTCTGAGCCAGAATTTGCAGGCAAGAATTTGCACTTTGAATTTTCTTCCTCGATCAAAGATCCATCGCGTGCAACGGTGCAGCATCATCGCCGATCCTCCTATGCTGGGCCATCATGCTATAGGCGCACGACTATTTTCGTTTACCTTCGACGGTGTGCCAATGTACGACGAACACTGGGTGCGACAGTGATTTATCAACCTCCACTCCCGCGGAGACAGCGAAATCCGCGTTTACTGTGTGCCAGAAGAGGCTCGTCGTCGAACTTGAACATCCTCCATATCGCAGAGGGTGCGGAGTCGCTGCCAGGAGGATCTCTCGTGGTCGACGTGGTCGTTGATCATAGGATCGATTCCCAACAGGAGAAACCCGACGATGTCCATCCTCATCGACGTATCACGGATCCACGAGTCTCTTCGTGTAATTTCCTCTCGATCAGTTAAGTTGCTTTCGTACGTGAAGTCGAATCACTCGAATCGGTTTGTTCGGCATGGTGCGAAGCTGGTGGAGGCTGGTGTGCGAGCACGATATGAGAATTGTTGTGGTCGGTGGGTTTTTGGTTTGGTCGCTCACTTTCGGTCGTTTCAAGTGACCATTTATCGTTGCCCTCTTTTTACCGGTTGATCGTTCCTGAGGATGTGACTTTGAGGACCAGAGATGTGGCTTTTTAAAGGTTTGAGGAGGAAAATGAATCGGCGAATGATTAGTTTAGTGATTATACAGTCGAGATATCAAAACCTTGAATTGTATCTTAGGTTTTATGAAACTGGTTTATACTCTTTAATTTTGGATCCTCGATGGAGTTGTCATCGTGACGTCGTGTATCTCTAGCAAAGTTCAAATGTGATTCTAACTTTAGTTTTTTAAATCGAACATTATTAAACGTGGGTTGCCTTTCTGATAGTGTTCCAAAGTCTTTTGGAATTCTTTCTTTTTCTTTTTTTTAGAGAACAATATTTTTTAGTAATAATTTACCAGTCTCTAGCATCTCTGTGATCTATTTAAATTTTCTTTTGATAAGTTGATTAGTATTTAGGTTCGTCAGTTGATTATTATTCTATTTGATTGTTAGTTAATTAATTCTTCCCAGCTGGGAAGAATTATCGAATTAAATTAATTGTTATATTTATGTTATCGGCAACGTGGTAATCGCTCATCGATAGCGAAGGACTGATCATCGCATAGCAACATGATGCCAAAAATGCTTTTACGCGATACCTATCGAGTGTGAATGTTATTGGGTGCCAGACTGAGCCATTTTGCCTAACCTGATCTCAATTAATTATTCTTCTAGCCAATACGAACAATTCGTTTTATTCTCGTTTACCTATTTACGTTCACGAACAATTTATTAAATCGAGATTTCTATATAAATTATTATATATCGAGGAAGCAGATCTATTCGAGCATAAAGACGTGCAAAATTTAAGCTGAATAGTAATATCCTTGACTCGAGCTTTCATTATGCTAGTCCACGATTCGATGAATTTTACCTGAATATTTGCTATTTCTTGGACGATATCGTATCAACTATGTACAATCGCACTGTTATCGCCTCATTATCAGAAGCCGCGAGCACAAAAAGACGATAACTGACCGTTCAATTTGCTTTGATATTTCGAGTTACTTTCCAGTAACCGATCGAACGCGATGCACGATGCTCATCCACGGTGCCAATTAAAATCGGATCTTATTACAATGTTTCGTATGCTACTTCCTAAAACACTCGACTCTTCGTATATAAATCAAATTACCTGACAGTGTACTATTTTTATCGCGAACAGCGATAAAATCCTACCGGTTTCGTGTGCTTATATCTTGTGATCGAAATTTCCTGGTATTAAAGAGGATACATCGAATCGAGATGAAGAGGTCTGGTATACGATGTTCGATGAGTGGAAGATATTTTTCTAAATAGAATCAGGTGCATTAGGAAAGGTACTATCGCATTCATTTATTTCGTATTACGAAATACTTTCCGATTGTACAACACGTTTCCGATAAGATAACATGAATGATTCTTTCTGTTTATACGAGCAGAACAGAGAGATAAGTGTCGGATAGAGTCGACACGGGTTGAAAAATAGCCGTACGTCGCAAAAGCAACGTCGATCGTTAAGTGAGATCGGTGACTAATCGGTGATCGATCCAGCGAACTTATGGCTCGAGTGTAGGCAATGGAGGTCCGCGTAAAAATAGCGATCGGTTGATTGAAAGAGTGAAATCGAAGGATCACGTGTGGAAGGAACAAACTACCTGTGTTAACTTCGATTTTCCATCGTCGAACAGCGGTAAATCCATTAAGCTTGTGTAACGAGAAGCGAAGGCAACGATCCAACAGTTCGTGTACAGCGATCGGTCAAACGAAATCTGTGTAAATCGAATGTAACGAATGCACCACACGAATATGAAAACGCTATGCCATGACAAGAATGTCGCGTTAAAGCTTCTCGAATTGCGTCCCATTCGAAATTAGAATGAGCTTCATTTGGAGTGGGTCCTGTCGTTGTTGAAACTGAAGAGTATCAAATTATTACGAAGATGAAGATATTCTTCATTGTATTGCAAATACGACGAAGAATATTAAAGAGAAAATAGAAAACTAAGAAATTCTACACTGAGTGAAATCGAAATACCACTTAATCATTAAATGGTATAATCCTAATTATTATCTTAAGAATTACCCAGTAATTCCTTAGTCCAGTAATGTAGCCCAGTTCCTGATTTCCAAAAGACGATACCGATTTTTGTAGAAAATGCATGGAACAAAATTCTATTAAAGAGACAAAGAGAAGACACAAGCGTTCTATGAAAATAAAAGAACTTACGTGATTAGTAGTCGAAACAAGGTATCCTCTGTCACTTCCAAAGTGTAAAGTTTCTCAACGTAATCCAACTTTCCCAAATATAACTTTCGCAAAATAATATCCTCGCTGAAAATACCGAAGACAATTATTTTCAACGCGCACACTTGCGATTCAACGTTCTCCCTCGGAGATTCGATTCATTCTGTATCTCCTGCGTTGTTTGGTCTATTTGTTTCTCGAATACTTTCCGTAGATACGACGAACGAAATGGTGAGGGGCAATCAACGTTTACTCAACCTTTACACAACGTGCAGAGCTATCGTTGGTGTCGTTGCTTCCAGATACATTCATTAGAGCTCAAAACTGGCCGAAATTAGACTGTCCAGATAAAGTCGGGTAAATATTGGAATTTATCGCTGGAGGCTAACTGACCAGGCTCGAGTCTTAATTAAGACACACGAAGTGGTACATTGGTGTTTTAACAGATAAACGCGTGTCGATTTGTGCACAAGTCTGGCCTATATAGAGGAAGAGCATTGATATGGAAGCTGAACATTCTCGTGTATAAACTTCCACGACTGGAACTTTTAACCTTTACATTCTTGGAATTTTCCGTGAGAGTAATTTAATAATTTTCGTTGAATTTTTCTTTTAATTCTCTTGGCGGTTTATCTAAAATTAAATAGGGTACGCAAAATGACGGCGTGTAAGTTACACCTATTCTCGTCGTCGACGTATGTGGGAAAACGTGCCGCTTAGTTCATCGTTTGTTCCTTGAAAAAGTTTACGGCCACTGCGAGGAGAATCATTATTTCGTGGGAAGGCGTGATAAATTGTGCTAACGAGAAATAAATTACGAGTGTTACAGAATCGGTGACACGCGCGAACCGTTTCGCAAACTCGGGTCTGTGGCTTTGCTTACGGAAGAATGCACGTGGCTGATGTTTAGATACGAAGAGATTATCAGTTCTTGATGAATGCGATGGAAAAATTTGGAGGAAAATATCGTTCGAGAAGATGTTTCGTGGCAGAAGCTTGGAAATAAAATTTCATCTACTTATTATCCAAGAATTGCAAAAAATTCGAAACTCCTTCGATGTACAGCTAAAACGGCATGTCATTTAACGATTCGCGAAAAGCGTTATTTACGAATAAAAAGTAAAGAAGAAAACGCAAGATTCGTATGCAATGGAGATAATTTTCCGAGCCAAAAATCGGCAATGAATCGTAAAGATTTGCGCCAACGGAAAATAAATGCTCGAGTGTTTTAATAATGATCTTTGTCAACCTAGTGCTAGATATTATTGCCGGAATATGAGAGTATTTCCCGACTTTGATCTGGTTTCCATGGAATACGCAAATGAGAGGAGTAGCTTACTGAATTCTGACCGACAGAATGCTGCATCCTTTCCATCCCTGATACCACAGGGGTTGGCTCGCAGTTACGGGTCTTTTTCCTCCTGTCAGCAGATGATACAATTGATCTGGAACAGAAGCAAACAGGTACAGCAAAACACGGATAAAATGTAATTATTATATTTAATCAATGAGTGAATAATTATATAACAAGGAAACGAAATATCGTTGATCGTATGGTGTTTTTTAATTTTGTAACTTTACTTATGTTCCAAAGAGGAACACTCTCGTTACTTGTAATAAATGTATTGAACTAACAGTAGGACTGTGATAAAAATTTATGGCTGCACGCTGTGTTTTCTGGAATATATTAATATATATATATCAACTGGTCTGAAATTTTATTATAATTAAAAAGGCACGCGAGCCTTTCATGTGCCAAATCGATTAACTCTACAGGACATGAATTAAAAATTTGTTATAAATGTAAAAAGTTAAGCATCATTCAAGTATACTGTAGTGGCACTTGAAATTTTTCAAAATTCGAAAAGTGGAGATAATTACGTTGGCTTGTGACCGGCTCGTATATCTCGTAGATAAATCCATGTGTCGTCTTTGAAAAATTTGTCATGTCCCAAGTATCTGATAAAATTCGATTTTTTAGCATTTCGAAGAATTTCGCAGAGGTTAATATCAAGCGGCGATTGAACCCTGTTTTATTCTCGACGAATAAAATTTTATCTGTCGAAATTATCGGTGTACACATAGCATTATCTCGTTGAAATTTCGGTCTATCTCTCTGAAATTGCTGCATGACCTCTCCAATTAGTGTCGATATTTATCGACGTTTAATCAGGCGTTTCATTATTCGCGGAAATTTATTTAAATAACCCCGTTTCAGTTATACGAATCGTTCAGAATATCGTAAAATTAAGTGCAACCAAATTGAATATACCTAATAAACATTTTTATACCGAAAACGCTACGAATTATCCGAGCAACTCCGATATGCAAATATATAACGCACAATTTCGGAAAATATCGTGGAAAATATTAATGCTAAAATGAATCATTTGATCCGTTATCGTTGCAAATCATTGGCTGCCAATTGTAATTCATGATTCGTTAATTGATCAATTAGGAATCGAGAAAGGAGGCCTAGAATCGGGTCTTAGTCGGGTTTTACTAGTTTCAAGTGCATACGTGATTCTTAGCTAGAAGATTGTAAAGAATTTCTATAGCACGGTCAATTCTGAGAAACGGATATCAATAATTTATGTTCTTCATTGGTCATTTATTTATATCCGGCTTATAAGCTAAATGCTATATTCGCTTTGTAAAACAAGTGGAAAGAACCACAGGTGGATTGAATCGAATTAAACGAAAATGTTTCGTCGTTTGTCTCTTTGCCTGGACTACGTGCCAACATTTTTCGACGTGACTTGAGAGATAAATGACAGATTCAACAGTGTCTTCGAAGATTTGTCCCTCTTACACCTCTGACCGCGTTAGATTGTTCAATTAACACGATTCACTCGTCAATGAATTTAGAATGACTGACTTCGTGACTGGCTTCAAGGTGCATTAATTAAATAGCATTTCGAATTTCATTCGAAAACCGAACTCCATTCTTTCTATATCGTGCCTCGATTTTGCATTTATCTCAGTCGAAGATAATTTTTTTATAATATTTATATTATATCT